GAGATCATCCCCTGTTGCTAAGACCAGGTCAAACAAGGCACTACCCCTGGTGGGACTAGACACCACCTGGGTTAGGTGGAGGTCCTGCACACAGTGTAAGAACATCCATGAGTGGCTTGTTTTGTCTGTCTGCTCCTCCCAGCAGATATCTGGGTAATTTAGATCTCCCATGACCACTGCCTCCCTCGCCTGTGTGGCGTCTGCTAGCTGCCTGGAGAATACATCATCTAACTCTTGATCCTGTTGAGGAGGCCTGTAGTAGACCCCCACAACCAAGTCCTTTTCCCCCGGCCCCCCTTGGATCCTGACCCACAATGCCTCAGTGTTCCTCTCCTCCACCCCCGCCTTGATGGTGGAAGACATATACTTCTCCTAAACATAGAGTGCTACCCCCCACCTTTTTTCCCCACTCTGTTGCACCTATACAACCTATACCCCTCAATGCCTAACACCCAGTCATGCTTAGAATCCCACCATGTTTCGGTTAGTCCGACTAGGTCAGATTGGGTGCTAGCAAGCAAGAGTGTGAGCTCATCTTGTTTGTTCCCCATACTCCTGGCATTTGTATAAAGACATTTTAGTCCCCCAAAGGGGGTTCTTGGTGCCCCTGTGCCTTGATGGTGTGTGTTCCATTTATTACTTACCTGGTGTGGTCTGGTGCCTTGTTTTTGGCTTACTGACCCCTTAATACTTACCTGGTGTGATCTGGTGTCTTGTTTGTGGTTTACCAACCCTAGGCTGTCTCTGACCACTGGTTCCCTGACCCCCATCAAGTCTAGTTTAAAGCTCTTCGGAGGAGATCAGCCAACCTGTGGGCAAACAGATGCTTACCTCTGGGAGAGAGATGAAGATTGTCATCTCCCAGGGAGCCTCCTCCCTGGAAGTGCTGGTCATGGCTGTAGAATCCAAAGCTCAAACACAAGTTCTTGGCTTCAATAGTCTCTACATCCACAAGGAAATCTCCCAAGAACTAATCAGACTTAACTTCCAATATTAGAGAAGATCATGTGGATGAAGTCTGGCATGGCTACCTTTGTGTTGACTAAAGTATTTACTTATGTAGTGTGAAAATATTCATTCACTTTTCTCACCCATTCATTTTATTTACCAACGTAGAAAATTAGGGTTGGAAGGGACCTTGGGAGGTCATCTAGTCCAACCCCCTGCTCAGAGCAGGACCATCCCCAACTAGATCATCCCAGCCAAAGCTTTATCTAGCTGGGTTTGAAAACTTCCAACCCATCCATAACAGTGACAAACAAGGCAAAGAATACAATCAAATTATATATAAATGGCCCCAACCCATGGCTTGAGAGCAGCACTTTGTCCATGAGACTCTCCAGGATTGTTGTGGCAACAGAAAAATGTTGAATTCCAAAGACAAAGTTACTTCAGGTGGACAGGGAAGACATGGCTCTAAATGGAAGGGACATTTAAAATTCAGCTATGCAGAGCCAACATCCCACAGGCTGGGTTAATTAAAGAAAGTTTCTTTGGGGTTTGAAGGCAGATTGCATCATTGTTCATTGTTTACCATGTCCAATGACTCCCCAGCTTCAGCCCCTTCCAACTTCCCCTCAGGAGGGCTGTCTAAAGAGATATCACCTTCCTTTCTGAATTATGCAAATTATTGAAGATACCCTATTTACTTTAAAAATACAAGAGAAAGAAAGCAGTAGCTTGTTCCCAGAGAGATCCCATTCTTCTTGTAAGAAGGCAGAAAACTGATTTTGAGAGAAGTCAACCTCTGAAAAAAAGGAATAAAATCTTGCCAGCTGAATTCCTGTAAAATGATGAATCAGTTAGTACTTGAACTTCCCCAAGATTTCAGGTGAGTGTTTCAGTAATGAAAATCAATCCATTTGGTCTTGCCTGTATCCCTGTTATGGAACAAGAAATTTCGAATGGTGAATCTCCACCTTTTCTTTCATATTGGCAACACTGCTAAGAATAAGAGAAGCAATTGCCTCATTTGCTTAGAGTGCTATGGAATTCTGAATCCAGAGTCTTTTTGGTTCCTTTGAAAATAGAAGTACATATAATGTACATTAACTTTTGAAAAATACCTACACCACAGGAAGCAAGAAAGAAATATATGCACATGTTCTTAACTGGAACTGGTCGGTCCACATTGCTTAAAAGAGGTCACTTGGTTACCAGCTAGATTCTTTTGCTAGACTCACCCTCTGCTTATTAAACTGAAATGGTGAGGAAATAGTCCAAAGTAATTAAATTCACTTTATTAGCATGGCAGTAATGGCTCAATACATTAAGAGAGAAAAGAAAATATATAAAGTAGAATGTGCAAGTCTTCAGTAAGGAATCAGAATTCGCATTTTATAGGAAACTCCAATGCAAATATTTTGTTAATGCATTACAGCAAGATCAACACATTATGGAATTTGCCACAAAATGGAAATGCACACACCTCTAGTACATGATGACTAACAAGTTTTCTTGTACAAGCAATAAAACCTTTTTTATTTTCTGTTCTTGAAAAAAAAAAATGTTACTTTATTATCCTAATTCATTTAATGTTGACATTTATTTTATCCCAAGTACAGTAAATGTCATATATATGTAATATCAATAATGCATAGCTAGTATATGATCCAACATTTGAATACCACATAACTGTCTAAGCTAACCAAAAAATAGCGAGGCCATTTTGACACTGAAACATTTCAACATAATTGTAAATATTTAAAATTTTCTCTCTTCAAAATGTTGTAAAAACTGATATGTACTAAGGATTTGGCACCAGGAAACCTAGATAAAATTAGCACCATAACCAGTGTTTCCTCAGATATCTTAAACAAGTCATTTTCCTTTTTTGATCCTCTGTTTCCCTAGCTGTGAAATGGAAATAACAACATTAACTTTCTTTTCTAAAAGTATGAGATCTTTTGATAAACATTCTGTGGAAGAGCTGGTAATAACAGTTAATGCTTTATGTAAGAAGAATTAAATTTTCAAGAAACTTGGTTTCATTTTTTATAAACCAGTTATATTCAAACAAAGGATTCTAAAATATGAGAGTGATTATGGAAGTTATGTGCTCTTAAATGAAGAAATTTAGGTTAAGAACAAAAAACAAAACAATGCCAAAAAAAAAAAAAGAAAGAAGAAAAACTCCCAAACAAACAAAAAATATCAATCCGGCCCCAGTCATGTGTGACTGATATTTAAAACATGCTTTAAAATGGCTGCTGAAATGTTTATGATTTTAATATATCAGTTTGTCTCTCCATTTTAAGGTGCTGCCTGTGTAATGAAAATGCCTGTGTTTCTTTACTTCAGGACCCAAGATTTCACCAGCAACCATTAATGGAATACGATATGCTTGAACTGTAAGATCTGTGTACCAAATCTGCATACAGATCAACTTAATACTATTTCATTGCCTACAGTGAACCAGGCTGGTAAAAAAGATTTAAAAGCAGTGCATTTCAATTTATCTTGGGAAGTTTTGATTTGCTGTTCCTCAGTTAAATCCCCATGTCATGCAATGCACGGGGAAATCAAACACATGTAACAGAATTCATCCTTCTGGGATTTGGAGAGCTTCCAGAACAGCACCTTATTCTCTTCCTGCCGTTCCTTCTGATCTACATTGTGACTATGACTGGGAACCTCCTCATTCTTGCACTGGTTGTGGCTGATCAGCACCTCCACACCCCCATGTACTTTTTCTTGGGCAGTTTGTCCTTCTTGGAGATCTGCTACACTTCAAACATCCTTCCCAGGATGCTGGCCAGTGCTGTGACTGGGAACAGAAGCATTTCCTTCCATGGTTGTTTTGTACAATATTATTTCTTTGGATGCTTTGCAGCAACTGAATGCTATCTCCTTGCAGTGATGTCCTATGATCGATATTTAGCAATATGCAAACCCCTGCATTATACAGCCCTGATGAATACCAGAGTCTGTCTCCAGCTAGTGACTGGATCTTGGATAAGTGGGTTTCTGTCTAATTCTATATTAACATTGCTGATTGCAAGTTTATCTTTCTGTGGCCCCAATGAAATTGATCACTTCTTCTGTGATTCCTTCCCTATGATCAAACTTTCCTGCAGTAATAGTCATATAGAAAGACTGATGACTTCCTTTATGGCCTGTGTAACCTCTCTGATCCCCTTTATGTTAACACTAGCATCCTATATTTGTATCATAACCACCATCATGAAAATACCTTCTACCACTGGAAGGAAGAAGGCATTTTCAACTTGTTCGTCTCACCTCATTGTGGTGACACTTTTCTATGGATCAATAATATTTGTCTATGGGATCCCACAAAAGAAGACACTGAAACATATTACCAAAGTCTTCTCAGCCTTCTTTACAATCCTGACACCAATCTTAAATCCCCTCATCTACAGCCTGAGAAACAAAGAGGTAAAGGAAGCCTTGAAGAAAGCCATGCATAAAGTTACTGGTTTTAAGAAAGGTTTCCTCATTTCACAAAAAATAGCTTCAGGTTGAACCAAAGTGCAAATAACTGGAGCTGACTTTGAATACAAAGGGGCCAAGTGTGGATGGCCATTGGCTCTGCTACCTTAGCCACTTTTTGACAACACATTCGAAGTTTGTGAAATAAGTTCTCTGGTGTAAAGTGTCCAGATACAAAATAAAGCTGAAATCTTTTACATAATGGGAATACCAGGAAATAGATTTTGTTAGCAAATGAAATATAATAAAATAATATATTACTTTCTCTGCATGGATGCCTTTGACTTTTTATTAAAATTTTTCTTTCATATTCCTTCCTTCCCTCTTTAGAATCAAAGAATCATACAAAATTAGGTTTGGAAGGACCTCAGCATGTCCAGCCCCCTGTTCAAAGCAGGACCATCTCCAACTACATCATCCCATTCAAGGCTTTGTCTAGCTGGGTCTTAAAAACCTCCAAGGATGGAGCTCCCACAGCCTCTCTGGGTAGTCTGTCCATTGTTTTTCTACCCTCCTGGTGAGAGAGTTTTGTCTAATATCTAACCTAAACTTCCCTTGCTGCAACTTCAGACCATTGCTCTTCATTCTGTCTTCTGTCACCATTGAGAACAGTTTAGCTCCATCATCTTTGCCTTTCAAGTAGTTGAAGGCTGCTGTTAAACCGCACCTCTATCTTGTCTTCTTCAGACTAGATAATCCCAGTTCCCTCAGCCTCTCCTCATAAATCATGTGCCCCTACCCCCTAACCATTTTACTTGCCCTCTGTTGGACTCTCTCCAATTTGTCCAAATCCTTTCTGTAATAGAAGGCCCAAACCTGGACATAGTAGTCTAGATGTGGCCTCACCAGTGCCGAATAAAGGGGAAGAATCACTTCCCTCAATCTGCTAGTAATGTTCCTACTACTGCAACCCAGTATGCTGTTAGCCCTCTTCAAAAGAGCAAACAGTTGTCTTATATTTATCTTATTGTCCACTGTAACCAACAGGTCCTTTTCTGCTGAGCTGTTGCTTAGCCAGTGGGTCCCCAGGCTGTACTAGTGCATGGGATTGTTCTAAGTGCAGGACTTTGCAATGGTTTGTCATGGAAGAATCAGAATAATATAGCGGTATGGAGAGGATCGCAGGAGCTCCTCTATTACAACCTCCTGCCTGAGGAAAGATAATCCCAATCCAAACCATCCTATACAATACATAATCTAAACTCTACATAAAACTGTGTCAACTCTGACATAGCACAGACCTAACACTCTAACCTGCCACAGGTAAATCAGGGAAACCATGGCAGCTAATATCCTGCTTCTATAAAAGGTTGCCAAGAGATCCAAGGTAATGGGTCATGCACCCTGCTACAGAGGAAGGTAAAAAACCCCACAGTCCATACCAGTTTGACTATGGGGTAAAATTCCTTCCTGATTCCATATATGGAGATCAGTTTGACCCTTACAGGTAGGGCAAGACCTACTACTCAGGAACCCATGGCTTTGGTCCCGCAGAAGCATTGACACATCCCAGTTGAAATCCCCAACTTTGTCTGTAGTCAATAACCAGTTCCTCTCGGGGTGGCTTAAAACACCTTGACACATGTAGCAGGAAGTAGGCCAGTGTGAAGCGGCTAGTATTCACTTCAGCTTTGGGGGACAGTGATTCATTTCAGTGATTCAAATCACTGTTCTGAATCGATTCAGCCAAATCTGATTCAGAGATTCAGCTGCTGCTGAATCTCTGAATCACACAGGTCCATCTCCTGCCTGCTCTCCAAGCCTGGCTATGGCTGCCCCTCCTGCCAGCCTCAATTCACCAGCTGCTGCTGGGTGTGGGGGAAATCCCCGTTGCCCCCCACTATCCCATGCTGCATGGAGAGCTCTGCATGAGCTTCCTGATCCCCTCTTGCTTCCCCAGTGCCCCCCGACCATGGCTGTCCCGCCTGCCATAGCTCAGACCCTTTAAGACCCCTCCGAGAAAACCCCCGGACCCACTGTTCCTGCCATGGGGGGTGGTCCCCACTGCCCCACACCACATGGGGGGCTCTGCACAAGCCCCCACAAAGCCCCAAGGCTGCTGCAGGAATGGTGAGCCCTAGGGGTTTTCTCGTTTCTTTGTTTTTCTTAAAGGGCTGGACCTGGGCCAGGTGGGGCACCCATGGTGGGGGCTGAGGGAGTGGGGGGGCTCAGGGGGTTCATGGCAGAGCTCCCTGCATGCTGTGGGGCAGTGGGGGACAGTGGGAATCGCCTCCTTGCCCGGCAGCACCCGGTGAGCTGGGGCTCCTTTTAAAGGACTGGGAGCTGGGGCGGGGCAGCCATTGGGGTGGGGGCTGGGGGAGGAGGCAGAGGTTGCAGGGCTGGGGAAGCAGGCAGTGGATGGGGGGGGGGGGGGGGCGCCCCGGGTGCGCCGCCTCCC